AATCAACTGTCAACAAAAAATGGGATTTCTTCCCCTTCTTTAACTGAAACTAGAAAACCATAAAGATCTGATCAGGGTTTTAGATCAGATGGCTCACAATAAGCTGTCAGCTGAAATTAGTTATAAATAAAAAGGATGTTTTTCCATAATGTTTTATTAATGTATAATAAATAAAGCAGTATCTTCTGATTGGACACTTGTTTAGCTTGTTATTATGACTTAATAAAAACATGGGTAATGCCATTTAAAGTTTATTCAAGCTTAGTTTTACATTAAAGTATTTTGTTTTCCTAATCGTGCTTCTTAGATGAGCCTGGTTTTTCGTATCTGATCCTAAACAAATTCATTTCTTTCGACCTTATTTAATCTTGATTAAAGAAAGGAAGTCCAGGTTTTTACTTTTGAAGCATGTAGATCAGGCGTAACCATTTAAAAATCAGCGGGGTGCGAAGAAAGAGACACTTTTAATTATAATCTGTTACTTTAAACAGAATTGAATGCCATACAATTAATATATACAATACATTTTTAAATAAAATAAAAATTGAAAATTTTTACATTTTAAAATCTAAACTGTATTAAAAGTAGAGAACAACAATCGTTCAGTTTGGTATATAGATCATTTCCTGATTCAGATATTTTATAAAACACCTGAACTGAATGTTTGTTTTCTTTCTTCATTCTGTCTTAATGTTGGCAGTGGGCTTTAGGCTGCCCTGCAAGGCTTTAAACCTGGGTTTGAATGGAGCCTAAGCCATTCTAAAGCACATATCAAGGGGCTCATTCTGAGCCTGGATCCAGATTTATTGTTGATTCTGTTCATGGTGGAGAATCCTGCTTCACGGCAGCAGGTTGAGCCAAACATCCTCTAAATGTGCAGGGTCATCTTTGAGCACCATTTCACTTTTCTTTCACCAGTTCACCGCAGTTCTTCCAGCAGTCCACACTTTCTCTGCTCTCTTTTTCTCATCATCTTCTCCTTCTTTCCCATCGCCCAGCTTGCCACAGGTTTGCCTACTGTGTCTAAAAGTAGCAGCAGCAGCGACCCAGACTGACAGCAGCTCATTGGATCATTTGGATCACGTGTAGCCTGGTGCCAGACGCTCCCCAGGGCTTTACCGTATTAACAGTATAAGCGGCGTAAGAGAAGTTAGACATTGTCGTGAGACAACATGCGGTAATTTCTAAATGTATTCCGGACCCAAACAGGTTGGGTCAAGATTAGCCAACAGTTGGGTCTTGGTCCGGATCCGGACCACGGTATGCTAATCCGTGACCTCTGATGTAGAGCAAAGAAATGCTTAGAAAGCTAAAAGAATTGCTGATTTAGGCCACTTTCAAGGAAGGATATGCTTTTTCTGGCCATTTTATCAAGGTCACCTGAGTTTACAACCAGCAGAGACAGGAAATGATCCTTCTTTCTCTCATAACTGCCTCATTTATATTAATCACCAACCGGCTTAAAGAGCTTGATAGGAAGCAGAATGGATAACAGGGGAGTGTTGGTCTAGTGCTCAGAGCAGAGCGCTTGTGCTCTAAGAAGGATGCAGGTACCTGGTTCGACCCCACAGCTTCCACTCTGGGTCCCTGACCAAGACCCTTAGCCCCACAAGGTTATGGGTTAAATGCAGAGAGTGAATTGTCCCATTTATTTATTTAAAATGTTTTTTTTTGTCCCATTCTGGGACAATAAAGAGATTTACATCCTAGAGCTCATCTATTTGCAGAAGATAGTGAGTCTGTGAATTGTAGCCTCAGTTTCCTGTTCTTAGCACTGATCTCTATTTATTCAATGGATTGCTCATAGCCTGAAAAAAGTGAAGCCATCGGCCGCCATGCTGGTACTCCCCACTCCCATGGAGATGAGCAGTAAAAATGTCTACATGTGTAGCATTTGGCTGCAAAAACAAGCAGTTTGCCAGCTGTAGGAAGACATATCACAGCTGATTTCACAGTCAGTGGATGGACTAACCAAGAAAATCCATCTATGCACTGATGTATCCTATAGTATAGTGTGTTAGACATTAGTCTGGCTATGTCAGAGTTACTCAAAGATATTGACTGAGTTAGTCATCGACATTGTGTCTAACGTTAGAAAATAGTGGATCATGCCGTCGCTTTTGTAGTGTTTGTTGTATTTCTCATTTGAAAAAGTCATGCTGAAATATATTGCATGTTATATTGACAGAAAAAAGCATGTCAAAAACAAAAAATATATATAAATGTTTAAATTGCCTTTTTTCCTTCTATAAATATATATGTATAGACCTGTACAGCATCAATTTAGCACTTTTGGCACATCTGTATTATTATCCTCCATCAACACATTTATTTTGTTATGATGGATTTGTATAATATTTATATTACATGATTCATACATTTCATTGACTTTGTAATGATGCAATGTGATGTGCCTATCTTTTTATTAGTTAAAGTCATCTTCTTATGCTATGAAACAGCCAGTTGGTGTGAAAGTGATGAATTTATTTTTATTTAAAAGTCTTAAATCCCCCTGAAAATGAGAATGTCATTGTTGTTCAATGCTGTAGCACACGTATTGTTCACATTGCGACCGGTCTATTTAGGGAGTACCAATATGGCGGCTGGTGGCTTCACTTTAACCCTGTACTACCAACAGGCAAACAGCAATCCAGTGAATAAATAGAGATCAGTGGTTTCTACCTTCGGCCATGTTATTCCTTACAACCTGCCAGTTCTCCATCTTAAAGACATTTTCACCATAGCAGTTAAAGCTCACTGAATATCACCTCTTTGTCCGACCATCCTTTGTAAACTTTGATCATCGATATATAAACGAAATAGAAGCTAAATAAATCAGAAGTTTATCAGATACTCTGACCATCCCGCCTGGTACCAGCTGCCATCTTTAGTCTCTTAAATAAGGAAGAAAAACTGTCTCATTGGAATCTGCCTTTTTTTAACACCGAGTTTTAAACACTGAATTTTTTTAGACATTGACTTCCTTACACTCAATTTTTATCTGGTAAAAATTCACCAGATAAAAAATTCAGCTGCAAAAATTCAACAATTTTTTTCAGCTGAATTTTTTGCAGCTGAATTTTTTTGCAGCTGAATTTTTTTGCAGCTGAATTTTTTTGAAGCTGAATTTTTAGCAGCTGATTTTTTTTTGCAGCTGAATTTTTACCAGATAAAAATTGAGTGTGAGGAATTCAATGTCTAAAAAAAAACAGTGTTTAAAATTCATTGTTAAAAAAATTCCATGTTTAAAATTTGGTGTTAAAAAAAGGCAGATTCCAATGAGACTGTTTTTCTTCCATACTTTCTTCTTCCTCCTGCTGCTCATTTTGATCCTCAGCAAGTCATCTTCACTATGATGGGAGTACCTAATAAAGGGGCAAGGGAATAAATGAAGGTTTCTGCATCAAACTGTTTAGCAGATTTTACCTGGTTACAGCACATTAAAAAGTTTTTTTTATAGTTTTTTTTTATATAGTCTCAGCAAACTGAGCTCTGGTGTCATCGTTGAATCATTTCCTCTCTTAGGTTTAGCTGTTTAGGCTGAAGCATTTATTCCACTTTGATCACTCAGATGATCGTCAGTCTGTGGGATTCATGACCTTCTGAAAAACTGTTTATTTACCTCTAGGGCAAGAAGGTGAGGTCACAGAGGTCGGTAGGAGGCGTTAAGTGACACATTCGGCGCTGTCCTGTTAGGATCTAATCATCCAGGATGTACCGGGTGTAAACAGCCTCTGTCGTACAAACAGCTTTGTTTACATGAAGAGTGTTTTAAATGTCTGCATGGCTGAACAGAGAGATGACTCCGCTTCTGCCTCTGTGGGAAGCCATTTGCTAAGAACGTTTTTTTTTTTTTTTTTCATGAAGCTTTAGCAGTCAGACCGCGGCCCAGTTCCCACAGAGGTGATGACGAGTGAGTGTGAACAGCATTTGCTGCTCTGTAAGTTATGAGTGGGACACATTTGGCTGTGGAAGCTGGACGCTGAGGCACTTTCTGTTCAGATGAAGTCTGAGGTTTCTGGCTAATTCTCTACAGTCATCATCTCAGATGCAGGCAGGAGGTGAATGGAAGGTCAACCAGTTTTTCTATGAAATTCTATGGAAGTCCTGATGAGCCACATAAAGAAAAAAAAAACTCTTTCTCTGAAGTAATATTCCAGGAATTGTATTGTTGGTTTTAATAATTAATTCTATTTACATCAATCACTTTATTACAGTTCATTATGACAAACATTCAGGAAATCATAGCAAAGAATCAGATTAAAGAGTCAATTTGATGGATGGATGGATGGATGGATGGATGGATGGATGGATGGATGGATGGATGGATGGATGGATGGATGGATGGAAGATTGAGGGGTGGATGATGGAGGGATGGAGAAATGATGGAATGGTGATGGAGGATGGAGGGATGATGGATGGATGGATGGATGATGGAGGGATGGATGATGGATGGATGGATGGATGGATGGATGGATGGATGGATGGATGGATGGATGGAAGATTGAGGGGTGGATGATGGAGGGATGGAGAAATGATGGAATGGTGATGGAGGATGGAGGGATGATGGATGGATGGATGGATGATGGAGGGATGGATGATGGAGGGATGGAGGAATGACGGAATGGTGATGGAGGATGGAGGGATGATGGATGGATGATGGATGGATGGATGAATGGATGGATGAATGGATGGATGGATGGATGGACAAAGCAGTGATCTGATGGATGTCCAAATAGAGGGACAGACGGTCTAATCAGGGTTGATGATGTTGGTATAAATAATGGTATATTTATTTGTCTATCTGATGGAGGCCTTAATGTTAATAAGGTGACTGGTTCCTCTTGATGACGTCATTGCCTCCATCCTCTCCTCCCCGCAGAAGCAGGAGGATGCATTGAGGTCATTTCAGGTTAGATCTGATGATCCTCAGAGGAACTCCTTCAACCCGTCCTCCTCTAAAGCTCCTCTCCCTCGGACACGCGTGGGCGCGTCCACGCACGCCCCTGGAGTAAAAGTGGGCAGAGCGCAGAGAGGCTCTCAATCCCAGCCTGCAGTCACAGACAGAAGGAGCCAGAGTTCCTGTCCTGCTTCAGCCATGCTGGACACCCTGACCTTCCTCCTGGAGAAGCTCTTCCTGCTGGCTCACATCAGGCTGTCCATCCTGCTGCCTCCGCAGCTGGACAGCTGTGAGCGGGAGGACTCCCTCCCGCAGCCCCCCGCAGCAGCAGCAGCACCGCACAGCTTCCAGCGGGGGGACCTGCTGGAGGTCCCCCGGACCCTCTTCACGCACTTCGGGATCTACCTGGGAGACAACCGGGTGGCGCACCTCATCCCGGACATCCTGCCGGCGCTGAGCGCGGACCGCCGCCACATCCAGCAGATGGTGACCAACAGCCGGCTGCTGCTCGGGGTCCTCTCCAAGCGCGCCAGCATCCGGGTGGACTCCGTGGAGGACTTCGCCTACGGAGCCGGGATCCTGCTGAACGTCATGGACCGGGCGGTGCTGCAGAGGCCGCTGCCCGGGGAGGAGGTGGCCCTGCGGGCGGAGCGGCTGGTCGGCGGGGTGTCCTACAGCCTGCTGTGGAACAACTGCGAGCACTTTGTCACCTACTGCCGCTACGGGAACGCGCAGAGCCTGCAGACAGACAGGGTGAGTGGGCTGCAGCTGCACAGAACCCCATCTATGGAGAAAGACTGGGTGCTTCATTAAACCCGAGAAATCACTAAGACAGCGCAAGCTTTTCATCTGCACTGGAAAAAATATAAATAAGTCACTTTTTTTCTTAAAATAAGTGCATTTTTTCTTGGACTGAGGAGGAAAATAGACATTTTGCCAATGGAACAAAACAATTTACACTTAAAATAAGAAAACACAATTGCATTGTCTTCTTTCAAGTACATATTATCCAATTATCTTATTTAAATAGTAAAAATCTTCATTCAATTGGCAAATCATCTCATTTATCTACTCAAATTAAGGGTAAATACACTTAATCTAAGAAATTTTGACTTATTTTTAGTTTTTAAGCACTACTTCATCATATTTTTACTCAAGTAAAAGTAAAAAGTAGCCTTTAAAGAAATTTTAAAAGTAAATAAACAGTTAACATACTGTAATTACACAATAAAAATATTTTAGACGGACTGAACAATCTTCTAAATACATTTTGAGTTATCAAATTTGTAGAAGAGGCTAAAATACTGATTACTGTTAACTGTATTTTAACTCAACCTCCAAATGACAGGGCAGACTGAGCAGATAGAAAATAACATTTCACCAAAAAAGGCTTCAGTACAACAGGAAGACTGCATGTCTCTCAATGGTGCATATTTGTTTAAAATAAGCCTGTAATAGATGAAGCACATTGACATTATATTTGATACGGAGTGCACACTGCAAAACAATCTAGAAATAAGTAAAGATTACTTAAATTAAGTGTATTTACCCTTAATTTGAGTAGGTAAGTAAGAGGATTTGGAGGAGTTATATATATATATATATATATATATATATATATATATATATATATATATATATATATATATATATATATATATATATATATACATATATATATACATATATATATATATATATATATATATAAATATATACATATATATATATATATATATATATATATATATATATATATATATATATATATATATATATATATATATATATATATATATATATGGATGCACTGTAGAAAGAACTTTATTGATCGCACAATGGGGAAATTCACTCTCTGCATTTAACCCATCCCCCTTGGGAAGCATTGGGCTGCCATGGTGCAGCGCCTGGGGAGCAGTGTGTGGTTAAGGGTTTTGCTCAGGAGTGGAGTCTGTGGGGATCAAACCGGGTATTTGCAACCTTTTCACAGCACAAGCGCACTGTGCTAACCATCTATACAGTATTTTGTGGGGGTTATATACCATATATACCCCATGCAACTTTTCCTCCTTTTGGCACCTTCTTCTTCTTCTCTTTGACTATTCGAGCTGATGCAATGCGTACATTTCTTCGCAATCAGTCAATCAATCAACCAATACCCATAAAAGTATTTTTTTAAGTTTCTAAAGTAAATATAACTAAGTAAATGTAATTATCGCTATGGCCTCAGCCACTATTGCTCCTCATCTTTTCCCATCTCTGTACCTGCTCAGTAAAATTAGATTTCTCCCGAGTTTCTTTCTCGAGAGGTTAGAAAATATTTCTTAACGCTGACCTACCTTTGCAAACCAAACTTTTCAGGAATCCCTTTGTGTTTTAATGAGAGGTTTTATTAGAGAGAAGGCGCTGCAGCAGGAGACCACGTGTTCATGCATGTTTGCTTCTGCAGCCTCATAAAGCCAAACCATGCATGCCTGCAGCAGAGCAGGCATAAAGTTAGCAGAAACTTTAATCCGGTCTCCATTTTACGACACTTTTCATCCAGACTTTTTTACATTTTCAACTGATTTTGATGCTTCTCCTCCTATTTTCAGAGCTCTGGATCATTCAGGCAGCTAAAGTAGATTTTATTCTCTGAGCTCAGTCAAATCTCTGTCTGGAGGATCCATGTCTGCAACTTTGTTCATTTATTTGACAATAAAAGATGATTCACAAAGATACAGAAGGGCTAAAACACAACAGCAGAATATATGTGGTGCCAGTAGACACTCTTTCCTTATGAATACGCTCAAAGATGTAAGTAAAGATAAGCCATGGAATCTTAATGATTTTTAAAAATTTCTTCTTTCTAGACAGTCTTATGTTTTTATGCATTACGGTAAATTTGCTATAATGGCTTTTTACTTATTGCTAAGGATATAGCTTGCTTGGAATATAGATTATGACATTACTATTTTACCACTGTCTGCCTTTGTACAAAGTTTATACTACTCTAGAAGAAAGGACGGACCCTAGTAACTTCTAAAAGCTGCAGGAAAACAGCCAGTGTATCTAAACGCATAGGGTAAAGTAGAAGCCATGTTGTAAACTAGTCCGTAGGAAAACTGAAATGTTAAAGATGGAAATAAATGCGAGTTGAACATCCCTCCCCCTCTGTTTGAGGCGGTCAGGCTGGTTTTACACACAACAGGAAAATCTGGGTCGCTCCTCGGAAAAGTCTGGAGAACAAGAGGCGTATTCAGAGCGGAGCTGGCTGCCAGCAGCAGAGAGTCACTCAGTCTGCGCCGTGGATGCTGATGATGATGGACGACAGCAGTGCAGGCCCTTAACATGGGCTCCTCAGGTTCCAGGACCACACCTCTCTGTGGTTAACTCAGGATTAGCTTCACAGAGATGACAGTAGGAGGCTGATCAGGTTCAGTTTAGCACATCCTCAGGCTTTAGTCTTTCCAAGCAGCAGCTTTGGAGTCTAGAGTTGTTTCATGGGGTGTATAGATTGTCATTCACGCTGGTATGAAGGAACTCGTGTATTTTTCACATCATTAGCTTTTATCTCCCATTATAATACTGTCTTTTCTTCATGGCCAAACAAGTCGAAGGTTTTTAAACGTTTTCAGCCTCTTAATCCATGAATACAAAGAAAAAATCTCAATTAAAACTCACAATATTGAAAGAAATAAAACTTTTGTTTGTAAAAAGTGATTTTAAAATATTATGTCAGTCACTGAGATTCCTTCATTTTACATTGGTTTATAGGCATTTATTGGCGGTGGTTTTTCACTTCTCTCTGAATCTTCCTGTATTCTAGAATAATCCATTGTTCATATCAGTTAAGTATGATTGTTCCTGAGGTAGAGACGCTGAAATGTGGTGCAGACATACACATATACTCACCTACCCACATTTCTTTTCATGTTGCATTTACTCTCATTGTCTAACACACATGCATTTTAAAGAGAGTTTGGTCAGGATAATTTGTATGTAAACTATGCAATTGGAATAAAGTTATTGTTATTATTATTTTCTCACAAATATTACTATGTACTTAACATTGAGGGCACATAAAACTGAAACACAAATGCATCACATGAATCTTACTAAGTATGGCTAGCATCACCAGGGCTGTATAACCAGAGGATATGAGCCAGGCTGCCTCTATAAATAAAACACACACAACTGCATACAACTCAATGACAACTCAATTCTTAACTATTGAACTGATATTCATTTTTTTATTTTGAAGAAACTTTCAACCTGTTTTTAAACAAAATGCTGAATTTAATTCAGTTTTAAAATCTAATTGGGGGTTCGTCCGGGATTGGTTAAATAATTTTGCTAAGACCAATATTGAAATTTTACATTGTGTTTGTTGCCCTTTACTGGTAAGCAGGGTACTTTGTGCTCACTACTAGAGTCTATTCTATTTTTCTTTTTTTATCTATACTGCCAGAAAGACATTGAAATGTATGTATGCTGTATTACCCTAAAATTATGTCAGTCAACTTGAATATATTAATTATTTGCATTCTATTTTTTTTGTACCAAATTTGATACATAGGTACAAAAATGTCCTAATATCCTTTACAAATATGCATATTAATCAAATAAATTAAGATTAGCTGCTAAAAGCTAATCTAAATTTAGAAAGAATAAATAAATAACTTTTTTTAATTTTTTTTAAATCCCGAAATGAAACTTGAAAACCAAACAAATTTGTTATTTTCTCAAAAAAAAAAAAAAAAAAAAAAAAAAAAAATATATATATATATATATATATATATATATATATATATATATATATATATATATATATATATATATATATATATATATATATATATATTATTTATTTTTTTTTTTTTTTTTGAGAAAATAAATTTGTTTGGTTTTCAAGTTTCATTTTGGGATTTAAAAAAATTAAAAAAGTTATTTATTTATTCTTTCTAAATTTAGATATATAACTATAAAAAAAGTATATGAAGAAACAACACATAAAAAAAAAACAAAATACACACACATATATATATATATATATATATATATATATATATATATATATATATGTATTTTGTTTTTTTTATGTTGTTTCTTCATATACTTTTTTTATAGAACTCTAAAAGAACACTAAAAACAATTTACTGATTAAGTTATGTGTTCATGGTTTTATTTGAATTATTTTACATTAAACCCTCTGATAAAGTATTTAGCTCTTCCTTACTAACCAGTTAGCTTGCTATGTAGCTTGATTTAGCTAATTTATAACAATCATTTGGCTGTTTTGTCTTTTTTTTTTTATATATATATATATATAAAAAATATTTTATCAACAAATGTCTAGTGACTTCAACCTAGAATAAATAAGATTTATTTCTTTTTTTTTACTTGCTATTATCTTTAAGTGTGTCTGCATCTATTTCGGCTTAGTAAGTAATTACAGCTAGCATAGCTTAACGTTGTTTTCTTTTGTATATTGATGCGTTTAAAAGTAAAGTTAAAATTCCAGACTCAAAGTTACACTTTTAAAAATAGTCTTGATAAATAAAGATGAAAAAATAAAATAAATTGTATTTTGAACGTCACACAGGCTCATTATTCCTCCTAAAACTATAATGGTTGATTTTTAAAATACAAAACTCAGTAAAAATGTCCAGACAGTGAGCAAAATCTGAACACATGATGCAGCCTTAGCTGACCCCCAGTTGCACAGGATGATAGACTAGATGTTTATTTTACGTTGGGGCCCCTTTGAGGCTCTTTTAAGAGCTCCTGTTGACCCTCACCCCCCCTCTATTCCTTAAACATTTACAGACTTTACTTCAGGAATCACGAAGGTCTGATCTTTTGCTTGGAGATTACAGGAAGTGAAACTTGATTCGGGTGAAACTCCCCCAGGAGCAGGAGGGAAAACACTGTCTGCATTTTATTACGGCTCTAATTAGCATTTCACGTGTCATTTATTAACATATACGGGAATGATTCATTGTTTTTCTATAACCTTTTCATTTATAGCGTGTCTGTATTGTTTCTTGTCTAGAAATGACTGCAAACTATTTCTGAAAAGTAAAAATATTCACTCCCCCTTGAACCTGTTAACATTCAGTCTTGTTCCAACCGTACAGTTGAATGTTTTTTATCTGACATACAAATAAAAGTGGTGCTGAAGAGGAAAGAAAATGTTGTTTACTTTCTGATAGGTGTATAGCAGCCGTCCTAGTTTCTGCTGAAGCAAAGCATCCCATAGCATGATGCTGCCAACACTGTGTTTCATTTGGGGATGCAGGGAAGGGGTGCCGATAAAATATGTAACATTTCTGTGATTTTTAATTTGAATGTGTGAACAACATGTGTAAAATATAAGGTCATGTTCCTCATACCACAAGAACAGATCAGTCTACAGCTAAAAAAAAACAGAAAAAAAATGTAGAAGCAGTTTAATAAGGTGCAGCATCATTTCCAGAGGCATTCCAAGGTACATTTGACCATGCAAGAATATCTGCATATACCTTAAGTAGCATAAATAATTAGGGGCACTATAGTGGAGCAGGGGTCAAACAACCAATCCTCAAAGCGTTAGCCCTGGATGTTACCTTCTTCAGGTTGAATGTCAATCTGCAGCTCTTTGCTTTGCTTTGCCACCAAAATCTAATGAAACATTACATGTGGAAGAGATAAGCTCATCAAAAAACAGGCCAAACATTTTTTTAACTACCTTTTTTTTTCCTTTGCAACCTTTTTATTTTCATAGAAAATGATTTTCACACGGTCTATCAACAATATTCCATTACCTTTTCTACTAGATGCAATGTTAAAAAAACAAACAAACACCAAAAACCTTGTTTTTTTAAATCTTATTTTAGTTGGTTTATCAAATATGGGGGATGCTTTTTATGGTAAGAGGAAAGCTGTCATAAAATAAAACAGAAAAATAAAAAACAAGAATTCCTGTCTGCAGTTGTATCTGGGCCCCAGTATTTTTGGGCTTACAGTTATTAAATATTAAATAACCATTTTTGCTCTAAAAAAAGAAAACAATGTTTGTGTTTTCATTAAACATTACACTGAACACAGCACCTCTGCTCTGAAACATGGTGGTGGCAGCATCATGATGTGGGAATGCCTTTTAACAAAGACGGCAAAGTTGGCAAAAGACAGCAGAACATTGTCCTGGAAAGGCCTAGTCAAATTACAAATATTATTGGATCTGAGAGTCTGTGGAAATATGCGGTTCCAATCCACTTATTCTCCATCTACATCCAGACTTTGACCAAATTTAAAAAGAAGAACGGGAAAAAGGTTCAGCCTCTATATGTGGAAAGTTAGCAGAAACAAACCCTAAATGATCCTGTACTTTGAACTAAGGAGGTCCATGAAAGTAAAGGCTGCACTTTTGTACGTTTATTTGGGACCAGAACACTTTAAAGTCAAAAGCAGGACAAGTGTGAATACTTTAGAAGTGTAATATCTGTCCATCCTGGCTTTCCAGTTCCTCCTAAATGTGTTTTTTTTTTTTTTTTTCTCTTCAGTTCTGCGAGTGGCTGAAGTCGCTGATCCGGGACCAGCGGAGCGTCCTCCTGACCGGCCTGCTGGGCCTCCTCTCCATGCTCTGTTTGGGCGTGTCCCCCATCACCGCCCTGCCCAGCGCCCTCATCCCCTTCACCCTGTGGATGGCCAGCTAAAAGCCTCCCAGCTCACCTCCAGTGTTTGGACCCGACCTGTTCAGAACCAACCAGAGACTCTGTTCTGACAGACAGAACGCATCCATCAGACTTTTCATCTTTTTTTCTTTTCAGCTGCCTGTCTGTAGAGATGTACGGTTAGGAAAGCGATGTGTTGGTGGTAAATGAAACAAAGAAAGACAAATCTGTACAGTATAGATACTGCAGTTTAAAAAGACTCTGGTGAAAGTTGAAGTATCAACTTGACCTCTTTACTCAAGTTAAAGTGAAAAAGTATGTGCTCCAAAAACTACTTAAAGTATAAAAGTATAAAGCAACCTTTAAAAAAAAACATTGAGTGTTTACGTTCTATGACTCATCCAATTACACTAGTTTTGACTAGATGTGGATGGAGCCAATGATCTGCATTGGATGGAGCACATGACGGGAAATAAATATTTATAAACATTAAACCGAAGGCAAGAGTAACGAATAACGTTTGTTTTAAAAATGTAAGGAATAGAAAGTACAGATACTTGTGTGAAAATGTAATGAGTAGAAGTCAGAAGTAGGAAGAAAAATAAGTAATGGAGTAAATTATAGATGCCTAAAAAGTGTAGTTAAGTACAGTAACAAAGTATTTGTACTTAAGTACACTTTATCTGGTACTAATAAGCAGATAAAAGCTGCAGTAACTGAGTGTAGATGGGTTTTTTAGGAGGGGACAGAAGCTGTGATAAATTAAATGGTTAAAATGAAAGTGAGGAAATGTTCTGCTAGTTTGGGGCATTCTTACTTCGGCTTTTCATTCCTCTTCCTGTTTTTTTTTCCCAATCTTCTCTCCTGCTAAGGAGAAACTTCATAAAATCACCACCGACTTCAAAGCTTAGACGTTTACTTTCTGTAGGTTTTGGGATATTAGCCAATCGAAGGAACAGGAACTGAAATAAACACATTAATTCAGATTATAGATTTTCTTCAAATCTTTACAGAGTTGGAAAAAACTCACATTAGTTCTGTTTTATTTCATATTTTCCTCTTTTACTGAGTCTGCTTCCTGAACTCCACCATCTTTATACGCTCGCTTTCCTTTAACGTTCAGAGTCTGGTCCTTCCAGCTGCATCGCTGCCATAAATCATAAACCTGTATTTCTGCACCTGTATTTAGCGCCGAAAGGCGTGAAAATGTAAATATCTGTAAATAATCCTGATTGTTTCCTAACAGTCCAACTTTTTTACAGTTTTTGTAACTCTTTATATGTTTAATATGTAAATAAAGAAAATTATAGAAGAGTGCGAGGTGTGTGTGTTTTTCACCTGTGATCAGAAAATATTAAGACTTAGTAACTAATGTAGGTGACAGTATCTGTTCTTTATTTTTCTGTTTACGTTTACTCTCTACTTTTCATATAATATGACAACAGCTTCAACACAACATGGAAAATCAAGAAGGGAATATGTGCAACGATTCCAACATGGATGAAGGCAGGAGGCTGAGAAATGCTGCAGATGCACTGGAAAAAAAAATCATTTTTTCTTAAAATAAGTGCATTTGTTCTTGGATTAAGGACATTTGCCAATGGAACAAGACAGTTTACACTTTAATTAAGAAAACACAATTGCATTGTCTTATTTCAAGTGCATGTTATCTAATTATCTTATTTTAAGAGTAAAAATAAAACTTTACCTGCTCAAATTAAAGATAAATACACTTATTTTAAGACATTTTTACTTATTTCTAGATTGTTTTTTCCAGTGTGATGGAGCTGATTCTGAGATCCAAAACATCCTCATCCATTCTCCCTTTATTAGATTTTAAATATACATATTGATCATGTTTTAAAATCTATTTTAATTTGAATTCAGTTTCAACCAGAAATCCTAAGTATTCGGTTGCTAGTGCAGGTTTTCTCTTCAGTTTAATCTAAATGATGCTCCCTGAAAGGTTAATTAGCGGGGTCAGTATTTTTTTCTTTTTGTTATCTCCAGCAATTTAGTAAGAAAACAAGAAAAGTTACTTATTTTTGAAAATATAAAGAAAACATCAATCTTAAAATACTAAAGATACATGAAAAAAACAAAATCAAGGAATGATTAAAACATTCTTTCAGAGTTGCCTTTCTGAAATGTATACATATAGGCCGACTGGGGTTCAAGGAGACAGAAGCAGAGATACAGAGAGATAGAAAAGGTAACTGCACTGCAAAAACGATCTAGAAAAAAGTAAAATATTTCTTAAATTAAGCGTACTTACCCTTAATTTGAGTGGGTAAATGAGGTACTTTGCCAATGCAATGAGTATTTTTACTATTAAAATAATATAATTAGATAATATTCACTTTAAATAAGACAAGGCAATTTTATTTTCTTATTTTAAGTGTAAATTGTCTTGTTCCATTGGCAAAATGTCTCTTTTATATCCTCAATCCAACAAATGCACTATTATAAGAATAAGTAACTTATCTAAGTTTCGATTTTTTTCCAGTGTGTCAACCAGCTCCACAGGAGTCCCGGTCAAGGAAACACACAGCCAGGCAGAGGAGCTCTGAGCCAGCTCCTATGTCAGAGGACGAAGAAAGCACACTTGGCAAAACCAATCTAGAAATAATAAAAAGAAAATCTAAAACTACATGTATTTATCCTTAATCTGAGTGCGTAAATACAATGATTTGCTTATGGAATTGCTATATTTACTCTTAAAATAAGATAATTCGATAGTATTCACTTGAATTAAGAATTTGAAGAAAAGATTAATTTAGATTTACATTTTTTTGCAGTGTACTCTGCAATTAGGCACAGAGAAACAGGACTACACCTAAAAACAGGCCAAGCTCCAACATCCACATACAAAGGTGTTGATGGCAGCAGCACAGCTGATATTTCTCTCCAGGATGGAGTAACAGCCAACAGACCAGGAACAGACCAGATGAAGCTACTATGAGAAAAAGCAGAGAGAGCATAAAGTTAGGGATTGAACTAACAATGGAAGAATAGAGATAGAATGAAGCAGAATGATGAAAAGTGGTCCCTATGTCCTCCAGCAGTCTAAGCCTATAGCAGCATAACTATAGAATTGTGATGTTTAATTGAGCTTAATGATGTATTGCTGTATTTAAAATGCATTCTGTGTACAAAAGTGACTAAAATGGACAAATCCTTGTAACAATTAGGATTTCCAGACTCAAAAACATCTTCAGACTCTAATCCAAACTGAAGCGATAGAAAGTTAATTTAATCAGTTTCCCTTCACACAAAACTGAGCAAGAGAAAGATTAAACCTGGACAGATTAAACTCAAATTACAAATTTGATATATTTAGTGTGCTCTTTAACCCTTTAAAGCCCAATCCAAGAAGAAAACAAAATACAAAATAACTTTTTTTTGGTTTGAATTCCTTATTTGGCCTTTTAACAAAATATGTAAAAAGAAAAAACAGAAATACATTTTTGATATTAATAATTTATTACTATGCGATAAGTCAAGACAATTTTTTGTGTAGTCTTCTGCCCTCTGTTATCAGGTATATCTGATTGTGTACAAAAGGATTTTGAGCAAAGTTTTTACCATTAAATTATGCAAAAGGTGTCAGACGCAAAACTCCAGCTGCAAAGGAAGCTAATGATTAGGATTATTGCAAGGAGGCCTTCCAACCTCCAAGACCTGGAGCTCAACATTTAAGATAAACCATCAAATAACAGTGGAAACTGTAAACACAAATATTCTTTAATCAAATATTTATTTACTTTATTCCATTTTTTTTTTTAATAAATAAGCCAAGTATCTGGGGAAAGAAGGAGGATAATCTTGAATAAAAAAAGGACCATAAATATGACCGATTCTAGGATTACCTGGACTTGATTAATGTTTTTATTTATTGTTGTTTATAAAGATCTTTGCTCACTCAAATGAGTTCTTTTTCATTCGCAATCATTTTAAATGTCCAATTAAATGATAAATTATGACCAAATTTCTTTTATTGCTCCATATTCTGAGAATTTTACGAAAGCAAAACAAATTTAAAGAGCTGACATTAAAGCAGCTTTTAAAACAAGAAATATATTTTTAATACAGTATTATAATATCCCTTTTTTTTATTTGTTATTAATCTAATCTGGACTGGAGTAATTTCATTACTTTGTTACACAACATCGCCCTCTGCTGGCTGTCCATGGAGAACCTTCAGAGTGAGTTTAAACAGCCAAAAGAACCGGGTCAGTTATCTTCAGTAAACTCAGAACTTTTAAGATGTTCTGTTTTTAATCTGGCTCTGATATGACAACAGCTCATCCTGGGCAGATATAGCAGCTTCAGATCGACACACCTTAAATCATTCTCTAATTTCTTCCTTAAGTGCTCTGTTAGATGGATATGAGATCAGTCATGTCCTTCAAAATTGCTATACAGTAGCAGCCATTCAAAACTTCCCCACTTTCCTTGATTGACCCTTGGCTGGCCCTCAGATGGACCTTGGCTGGCCCATTCATATTTAAGCATCAATATTTGTACTAAAATATTCTTTCAGTCATGATTTTTGGACATTAAGATCTAAAGATCTAAGATCTGGCTTCCCATTGAATACGGCAAAAACTTTTAACTTCTGGTCCTGACCTTTAGAGTCCTGCATAGATAGGCTCCGGGTTCCATTCATGATGATTCAGCCTCACTTTTCTGCTTTCAGTCTGAGATCTGCAGAAAATAACTTGTTAACGGTTCCTCCGACCCGTTTTAGGACGAGAGGTGTCTTTCCAAAGAGTTGCACCCAGACTGGGGAATGATCTACCACTGTACCACTTGGTGAACTCAATGGGTGATTTAAAAAAAGAAAATTAACCAAACATATTAGACTCATTTTATCAAGGGCTGCTTTGATTTTATGGATTTTATCTATATGTATTTTATATGGGGCTGATTTGTATTTTATTACCTCATATTGTGCAAAACTTTGCGACGCTTCTCTAAAGAAGGTGCTATATAAATAAAAAACTTACTTACTTACTTTCCCTTTGGTACAACAAAAAGTATTTCTGCTCCAACAATCGTTTATGCTTTCTCTTTTGTTTCATTGTAGATAAAACCACATGATCCAGTCAGTTTAAAATATGACCAAATCTGCTTGTACTTAATTTATCAACTTTGACTGAATAGAGCGGCCATTTTTAATGCGACAATGAAACAAATCCCGCTCTTGTTCCCAAGAAGATTAAACTTCTTCCTGATTTTTTTTTTTAGCATCAAACCCAAAGGAATTTCCAAACTGAATGCATTAGCTTCCATTCATTTTATTAATTCA